TTGGGCCTTTTGAGGTGCTTCGGAGGATTGGGGAGGTGGCTTATGAGCTTGCCTTGCCACCCAGCTTGTCTAGCGTGCATCCGGTATTTCATGTTTCTATGCTCCGGAAGTACATTGGAGACCCGTCTCATGTTTTGGACTTTAGCACGGTTCAGTTGGATGATGATTTGACCTTTGATGTGGCGCTAGTAGCTATCTCGGGTCATCAGATTCGGAAGTTGAGGTCAAAGGATATAGCTTCAGTGAAAGTGCAGTGAAGAGGTCGGCCCGTGGAGGAATCTACCTGGGAGACCGAGCGAGAGATGCGGAGCAGATATCCTCACCTATTTGAGGCTTCAGGTATGTTTCTTGACTCGTTCGAGGATGAACGTTTGTTTAAGTTGGGGAGGATGTGATGACCCGGCCAGTCATCTCATGAGTTTCCGCTCCGTTTTTCCCATTTCTACTTCATTATGCTTCGTTATTCGTGTTTTATGTGATCAAATTGAATAGTTTGCGTTCGGTGTGGATTTGGTAAGAAATGAGACACTTAGTCCCTTTTAAAAAGGTTTACGTGGGAAAAGTCAACCGGAAGTTGACTTATGTGTTAGAGAGCTCGGATGTGAGTTTTGATGGTTCGGTTAGCTTCAGGAGGTGATTTATGACTTACGAGTGCGATCGAAATTGGTCTTGGAGGTCCGAAGTAGAATTATGCTTGAATTGGCGAAGTTAGTATTTTGGCGATTTTCGGCTGGTTGGCGAGATTTTGATCCGAGGGTCGGAATGGAATTCTGAGAGTTGTTGTAGCTTTGTTTTGTCATTTTGGATGTGTGTGCAAAATTTCAGATCATTCGGACGTGGTTTAGTTGAGTTTTGATCAAAAATGTATTTCGGAAGATTTCTCAAAAATTAGGCTTGAATTCGATGAGTTTTGGGTAATTTGAAGTTGTTTGAGGTGTTTTGATGATTGGAACAAGTTTGAACAAGGTATTGGGTCATATTGGTGCTTTTGGTTGAGGTCCCGGGGGCCTCGGGGTGAATTCGGATGGTTAACGGGAAGACTTTGTACTTAAGAGATCTCAGAAGTTGCTGCTTCTTGTATTTCCGCACCTGCGAATTGGGGACCGTAGGTGTGGTGCCACACATGAGGAAGAAGAGTCGCAGAAGCGGTTTGGGAAGAATAGCTAGGGACCGCAGATGCGACACAAGGACCGCACCTGCGGAGTCACAGATGCGGCTCGTGGACCGCAGATGTGGAATCTGGTCCCCTAAGTGATTTCCGCAGATGTGGAGGAATTACCACAGAAGCGGTACCGCAGGAGCGGTGGTGGGGTCGCAGATGCAAAAATCCCTGGGGCAGAAAGTTTATAAGTTATTTTATCCGCGATTTTGAGCCATTTTCCTCCATAACTGAGTATTTTGAGAGCTTTTTGAAGATGATTAAAGAGGGATTCAAGGAGAATTGATTGGAGGTAAGATTTTCAAACCTAAAACTCGAATCTATTGTGAAATTAACCTAGAAATTCTTGGAACTTAAGCTAAAAATGGAAGAACTAGGGCTTGGAATTTTGAACTTTTGAAGTGGGATTTGAAGGACCATTTGAGGTCAGAATTAAAGACTTTTGGTATGTATGAACTCGTGGGGTGATAAGGAATCTAATGATGTGAAAATTTCTGAGTTTCGAGAAGTGTGACCGAGGCTCGAGTTGTGCTAATTCCGGTATTTTCGATATTTTTTGATTTGTTTTCGCTTGAGTTTTGTTCCCTTAGCATATTGTGATGTATTCGTTCCGATTTATATAGATTTGATGCACGTGGAGGCTGGTTCGAGGGGCAAAGGCGTCGCGAGCTAGAGTTGTGGCCGGTCCGAGGTGAGTAATGATCGTAAATGATGTCCTGAGGGTTTGAAACCCCGCATTGCACATCGTAGTGCTATATTGAGGTGAGACACACGCTGGATGATGAGCGTGGGGTCTTTTACTACTGGGAATTGAGACTTGGTCCGTCCAGACTAATGATTTTACCGTGTATTTGACTAAAACTTATTTGTTATCATCATGGTTTGGGATAATTGCCATATTTGGGCTTCGTGCCAACTATTTGAACCCTTCGGGGATTTTGACTGATTTTCCTCACTATACTTGTTAAAAATCATATCCTCAGTCATGTTTCTACATGTTTTAAACGATTTGAGCTAGTTTTATCATATTATTCCTAAACCAGAGGAATTTGTGGGCTGAGATCTCTATCTTCTATTATGGTGCCCAAGAGGCTGTGAGGTTAATGACTGAGAGGGGCTGAGAACTCAATGGTGAGGATATTATATATGTTATGGATCGGGCTACATGCCGCAACAATACTTATACTGGTCGGGCTGCACGCCGCAACAATATAGCGCTTGGGCTGTAGGAGCCCCTCCGGAGTCTGCACACTCCCAGTGAGCGCAGTCGACTATCTATATGGATCGGGCTGCACGCCGCAGCGCTGTACGGATTGGGCTGCACGCTGCAGTGGTCATTCTGATTTCTGTTATTATGAGAGATATATGGGTTGAGAGCTGAGAATGAGCACTAAGTGATGAGAGTGAGCCCGAGGAGCTAACATTGTTCTGAATGATTGATACTGTGCCCGAGGGGAGGATTTCTACTTGTTATTTACTTGCTAAATTACCTGTTTTACCTGATTTAAGGAGATTTCACTTGACTTCTTCATGATTTACTGCTTTACGTGATTTTTACTACTTTGATATAGAATTGCTTTGTGCCTTTACGTGGTTTCTTGCTTTCAGCCATTATTTATGATTATTCCTCACTGAGTCGGTGTACTCACATTACTCCCTACACCGTATATACAGATTCAGGCATCGCAGAGTCCGCTCCTGAGAGCTGATCCTCCTAGTCCAGGCAGTATTTTCGGAGACTACGAGGTAGCTGTTGGCGTCCACATCCCCCGTGCCTCCCTTATCATATTACTTTTATATTCTTCAAAGTTGTACCAGATATTATATCTAGTAGACTCGTATCAGGATCCTTAATTACTCATGACTTGTGACACCCTGGTTTGGGCTGTATCATGCTGTTATCTATATTTCCGCGAATTATTGCTATTAAATCATGCTTTAAATTGTTTTATGGTAATTAACTGCTTAAAGAAGTGTACTATGTTGGATTGGCTGGCCTTGTCTTCACGAGAGGCGCCATCCCGACCAGGTTCGGGGTTAGGATCGTGACACATTACCTAGGATATCTGTATTTATCTTGTCAAGTAGCTCTCTGGTGTGAACATTGTGGTTGGTTATACCAGAGTCTACTATCCAATTCTCATCTTTAACCTTTTCATTTATAACAAAGGTCTTAGATGTACCTGCAAAGCTTGCATTTTCACATGTCCCTGCTTTGATCAGCTTCAATATTTGATCATATTGCTCTTGAGTAAATATGATTGGCCTTCATCCTTGTGCCACATTTGCAGCAGATGTGTTGATCACTTGTTGTGCCTCCTGTGTATTTGCATTAGTCAACTGCTTTGTCATTAATTGTTGTTCCTCTTGTATGCTTACATTGGCCATAGCTCTTTGAGGAAAGCCTGTTGTCTTCTTCCTCATTTTGAAATCAGCTAGATATCCATGCAGCTTGAAGCAAGTGTCTTTTGTGTGTCCTTTATAGTTGCAGTAATCACAGAATAGATTTCCTCTTCTGGGCTTATAATTGTTCCATGAATTCATGCTTTTATTGGTGAATAGTGATGTTCCATCTCCAATGTCTACAGACTGAGAGAACTTTCCCAAAGCTCTTTGGCTTTCTTTAGAGACTATCATAGAATATGCTTTGTTAACTGTAGGAACATGGCTCATCATCAATATCTGACTCCTAGGTTGGCTATATGTTTCATTTAGCCCCATAAGAAACTGTAGCAGCCTCTGGTACTCAAAATATTCAAAATAGCTCTTAGATTCTGGGCAGTCACACCCAGGGCAGGGCATCAAGGCATCATATTCCTCCCAGAGGTCTGTCAATTGGGAGAAATATGCAGAAACTGAGGAAATTCCCTGCGATAAAGTTGCAATTTCTTTGTGCAGGAAGAAAATGCGAGATCCATCAACCTTATCATACTTATCTTTCAGATCAGTCCAGACTTTGTGTGCACTAGATTTGTAGACAATTTCACTAAGTAATTATGTGCTCACAACATTCATAATCCATGATAAAACTATTGCATTACACTTCTTCCAAAGCTCATGCAAGGATCGATCAAACTTATCCTTAGTACATCGTCCATCAATAAATCCTAGCTTACTCTTACCAATTATACCTATTTTCATAGATCTACTCCACAATGCATAGTTTTCAGATCCAGTTAGTTGAATAGAGATCAAGGAACTACCTAGAGTATCACAAGGCTGTAAATACAATGGGTGATGATGATCTATGCTCGTTGCTGCACTTGTTCCAGTTGAAGTTTCTTCTCCATTCGTCATTGCTAATAGATTCAGCTGATTCAAGGAATTATAGATTCACAAATCGCAAACCAAAAAGAACAGAAGCTAAGTTAACTGATTGAGGAAAAACTCGAACAATCAACACCAAAATGATTCTGCAGAAAGCAGAAGATATCCACCACAAGAATCGTGTATTTAGCCCCTGGGCTCTGATACCATGATGAAGCTCATAGATTAGATCAACTGGAGCTAAGAAGAAGATGAACACGAAGGTTATAGATTGAAGAACACATTGGAGAGCATGTGAGTTGAAAATGATTGTATATTCACCCTATAAAAACTAAATACAAGGAAATATGTTCTACTTATATACAATGTGTATGACAGCTGGACTAATCATTCTCCACAAACTATCTAACCACTAACCACATAATTAGTTATAACTAACCTTCAGCTAACTACGCTAGCTCACGTGACTGTCATATGTCACTATTCTCCTTAGTAAAGTCCTTATATATCAAAAAAAATTATTCTTCTTTCCCCTAGTTAAATCGTTCTTCTATGTAATTTATAAATGGTGTATATTTTTTATTTTTTTATGATTTATTTGTGGAAGAGTGGTGAGGGTCGGTAAGAGTTTGCCATTATAAATGCTTGTGCCATTTTGGAATGTCAGCAAGAGAAAAAATGGGTAAATCACATGTGAGAAGGTCTATTTTCCCCAAACCCAGGAAAGATTGAAATAAAATCTCAAAATTCCTTCAGATCTGGTTATATATTTTAGGAGTTCGCGGACTCGTCCTTTATTACATTTTTTGGTGAATTTTGGTTTGTATTGTTTTCTTTTACTAATTACTCACACTACAGCTTGTGCTGATAGGACTCAACTTTTTGGGTCCAAGATCTCTTAGGCCAGTTGCGATACTGAAGATTAGGAATTTCTGGTTGTTCTATGTCATGGCTGAGCTTTAGGGAAGTATAATGATTTAAGTATGAGATACTCTTTTGGGGTTCACAAATCAGGTATGTATATGTTGATCCTTTCCTGAATATCTTTGAGAACTAGATGGAACTAATGATTCGTAAGTGTCATAATTTGGTACAAATAGAGTCATACAATTTGGGTGAAGCTTGAGATTTTTGGTCCTTTCTTTACTATAGTCCTATTGTGTGAATAATCCAATTAATTAGATTTTGATATTCTCTAGTTTGCCCACTATTTTGTTTGGATGATGGTTGCTTTTGCAGTTTGCGTGATAAAATTAATCTCTTTATAGCAAGAATAGGTTGATGCTTGATACCATTTGGGATACTCGTTCTACTATACTGTATTGTTCCTTCTGCGAGTTCGTGGTTCGTGGGACAGGGGAGGGGAGGAAGCAAGTTGTTGGATTTTGCGACTGAAAAATCATATTTGATTTTTCAATAGAAAGGTAAAAGAAAGCTTAGCAAAATTATGAAGTTCTAAAATTTTGCTCTAGCTCCATTTAAGTGAAAACACTACATTAGATTTCTCAGATCATCACTTAAGCATGATATCGATCTAAGAAATGTTAGAGCAATTTACACACTTGCGCTAATGGTTATGAATGGTGACTCTAATTATTTTAACATAATGTAATATAGGCCTGAAGAATAATTTTGATAATTTGAGTAGTAGAATAGAGTAAAACTCTTTCTTTCAAACGTTAAAACTTTAATACCACTGATGGTAGGCAGCAATAGAGCTGAAAGATGGTAGATTCATGTAGGAACTGCCCTTGTTATTGGAGTACTATGGGTATAGGGTAAGTAACATTTCAAATCCTATCCATTTTTCTTTTTCTCTATCTTATGAAATTTTGAAGTTCATTCATTTCATTACATTATTCATTGACTTTTGATTCTTCTTCTGTACTGATGCATTAGACATGCCATAGTTGAAGAATAGTTTAGCTTAGGTTATACACGTTCATGAAATAAAAAATATTTAGATAATTTTAGGAGAAACTGGCAAAGAAGGAGTATAAATTGAAAAAGTCTATATGTGTCTTGTTATCAGAAGATCAATGACCTCGGTAATTGAAAAAACCACAGAATACTTCAGTGGGATGCTTAATATCTTTGTAAGTGAGATACCTTAAATTGTTATGAAGTTCATATTGAATCTTTAATTGAAGATTACTGATCATGTATTTTTATATTGGATCTTTTATAATAATTCTCCCCGCATTCAATGACTTGATCACTTTTGGCGACTCTTTCTTGTTTTATGTTTCTTATTTGACTGTACATCTTAGAAAATTGTTATGTCTTCTGGTTTATTTTGAAATTTGATCATGTTTTGAAGGTTTCTTTTATATAGTTAGCATATTTGGTACTTGTTTATGGCTTAGCTTTAAATACATGATCTCAACATTATATATAGACTGGAGTTTGGATCCATATCATGTTAAGTTTCAGCTTCATGTTTCTTAGTTTTTAATGATCGGTTTATAATGTTTTGCTCATTTTAAATAATTTGTGTCAGTGGTAAAAGAATGTTAGCTTCTACTCTAACATTGTTTGTTTGACATTCTAATTTGTTATTGTTTATAATTTTTACAGCCCCTTTTCCCTTGATGTTTCAAATTTTGAAGACGCATATAATTACACTTGATAGAATCTGACATGTGAGCGGTTAAATTACTAATACTCTTAATTTAGATAAAAATCTTAGCTTTTAACCAATTTTTTAGTTCATCTTTATAGCTTTTTCATATATATTTTATTTTTTTCACGGATTTTGGAGATTTAGTTTACCCGTCAAGATGTAGGTTTTGAGGACTTCATGCAAGTTGACAAGCTGATTAATTTTTTGCAAGGACTATGAAGACTTTTATACTTTTTGTTGTGGATGTTAACTCTTTTGCTAAGAGGGTTTCTGTAAACAATATAGTGAACTATATCATAGTCCAATGATAGTATTGAGATGTCAATCCATTTTTTGTACTTTTTCATATATATATATATATATATATATAAAACAATGATATTATTGATAATTTTGTTGAATTCAATTGATTTCTTGTACTATAAATTGTATAAAATTGTGGTTAATAGGATTGAAAAAGATCATATATTAATTTAGGAACCACAATTTATGTGCTAGTAGAAAATTTACCCTTAAAAATCCTTTAAGGACCAGATTTGTTGTCCTTAAAGACCTTTTTGATCCAGGTTAAATGGTCGCCAGTAGTTTGAATATACCAAACCAATGACCAAGCACCATATTTAGGGACCAAAAATACGGTCGCTAACTTCCTTTAAGGACCAGATGTGAGACCTCGTCGTTACTAACTTTTAGCGGCGGAGCCTTTAGCGACGGGTTGCGACCAGCTTTTTCCGGTCGTAAGTGACATTTAGGGACCAGAATTGGACTTTTAAGGACCATATATCTCGTCGCTAGTGGCCATTTTTCTTGTAGTGATGCCCCCACAAAACCCCAATAAATCTATTTATAGTGGACTAAACTCGGGACCAATTTCGGACAAAATACCCTTCCAAGTCAATTATGCGACTACATTTCTGTGCATAACAGACATGTGGTCTGCATTCTAATCGCAGCCATCGCATCTTCAAAACCCTAGTTCCCAGGTATTCGTCGCATTTAGGTTATGCGGTCCGCATTGTTGATTTGCGATCGCATTTGTCACCGCATTTTCCGCCTTCAGCAACTTCTACAGGGAGTTTGCGATCCATTGTGCGGCCCGCAAACCTGTTATACGGTCGCATAATGGACCGCATTTCTTGCACTTGAATTTGGCCAACAAACTGTTGGGCTTTTTGATTCCTTTGGGCACTATGCGGTCCACATTTTCACATCTGTGATCGCATTTTGCTCTTTTCTTGTCCTTTTGCAGCTTTTTGATTTCATTTCCATGTTCTCGGGTCCTTAAACCTCATACAATGCAAAAATATTAAAATTACATAAGTATAAAAGAAAATTGCAGTTAAAATAAGTTAAAATCTAAGCAATTTGTATTAAATGTGCCGAAATTCTCCGACACATTAGTAGATGATTTCAGAAGTGAAAATGTTGTTCTAAGTTTTATGAGCTAGGTTGGATTGTGAAATTTCAGTTGCATTGTGTTATCGGGCCTATATGAGATAGGGTGACATGGGATCACCCCCCGGGTATGTGCATGGTAAGGTTACACAGCGATTTGATGGTTTTCGGCACAACTCTGGGCACGTTCGAGGACGAACATATGTTTAAGTGGGGGAGGATGTCACGATTTGAGGACGATCATTTTGAGATTTGCACTTCGCTCGCCAGTTCTCGGGCATGACTAGTCCCGTGTGATGTATTATGACATATGTAAACCGTCGGTTTTGGTTTTCAGAATAATCGGAATGAATTAGGAAGGATAATTCTCAATTTGAAGCTAAAAATTTGAAAGGTTTGACCAAATTTTGACTTATTTGTATATGATCTCAGATTAGAATTTTTATGATTTGATTAGCTCCGTTAAGTGATTTGGGACATAGGAGCGTGGTCGGGATGTATTTTAGAGGTTCGGAGTAGATTTAGGCTTGAATTGGCTGGAATTTAGCGTTTTCCCGTTGGTAGGTGAGATTTTGAAATAGAGGTTGCAATGGAATTTCGGAAGTTGGAGTAGGTCTATCGTGTTATTTGTGATGTGTGTGCAAAATATCAGGTCATTCGGATGAGGTTTGATAGAGTTTTTGATCAATAGCAGAATTTGGAAGTTTTTGGAATCTTAGTCTTGAATCCGATGTCATTTGGTTGATTCGATGTTATTTTATGTGTTTCGGGGAATAGTATAAGTGTGGATAGTGGTATATGGCTTGTTCTGCTTTTGGTTGGGGTCCCAGGGGAGCCTCGGGGTGATATCGGATGGTTGGTGGAGAGTTTGGATTTTTGGAGAGGTTAAAGAATTTTTTTGCTCCTATTGTTTCCGCACCTGCGGATTGGGGAGCGCAGCTGGAATGCCGCAGATGAGTTGTAAGGGCCGCAGGTGCGACCAAGACTGAGGAGGCCAAGAGCCGCAGAAGCGTAGCGCATAGCGCACCTGCGATGGCGCAGGTGCGGGTATTTGACCGCAGGTGCAGTTTTGGGCGGATACATGATTTCCGCATGTGCGACCCATGGACCGCAGGTGAGTGTTTGAGGCCGCAAGTGCGGAATCCCTAGGCCAGAAAGTATATAAACTCTCCTTCGCAATTTTTGAGTTATTCTTCACCATTTTCATGTAGGTTTGAGCTTCACGAAGCTATTTAAGGAGGGATTTCGCAGAGATAAGGTTTTTGGACTCTAAACTCATTTCTATAGTATTATTTTACTGATTAGGCTTGAAATTTATGGAAATTTGTGGTTAAAAATTAAAGAACTAGAGCTTGAAATTGGAGACCTTCGATTAGGGATTTGAGGGGTCATTTGTGGTTGGATTTTGGTATATTTGATATGTACGAACTCGTGAGAGTGTAAGGATTCTAGTTTTGTAATATTTTTTTGGACTTCGAGACGTGGGCCTGGGGGTCGGGTTTGGCCGATTTCAGAATTTTTGATGTAAATTGATTATTTTCGAGTGGACTTCGTTCCCCTAGCATATTTTGATGGTATAAATCTATTTTTGGATAGATTTGGAGCATCCAGATGCCGATTCGAGGGGCAAAGCATCGCGGGCTAGAGTTTGGACCGGATAGAGGTAAGTAATAATTGTAAATATTTGTCATGAGGGTATGAAACCCCGGATTTCACATCGTCGTGCTACTTTAAGGTGACGCACACGCTAGATGACGAGTGTGGGTCGTACACTGTTGGGGATCGTGACTTAGTCCATCCCGTATGATTTTTAAGTCGCATTTTTTATTGAAAACAGTTTGATATCATTCTGTTTTGGAAATTATTACAATGTTTTGGGCTGAATGCCATATTTAGGCTTCGTGCCAACTGCTATTACTCCCTCTTGTCTTCCTTAGACTGTATTTAGTATATTTTTAGACTCTTTGTTGTATTCAGACCTTAGTAGATGCTCGTGACTTGTGACACCCGATATCGGGCTTGTGTATTTATTCTGCACTATTCATGTAGACTTACATTATGAGATATCTGATTAATTAATGGCTTAAAAATGATTGTCATTGATTAAATGGTTAATTCAGAAGTTGTGTCGGCTGGCCTAGTTTCACGAAGGGTTCCACCACGAACAAGTTGGTTTTAGGGTCGTGACAGGATCGGAACCTCGAAAGAACTTCACTCGACTCTCCCTCTAAGAATACTCCATCACTCTTCTTTCACTTGAACTACATGTGACCCGATTCCCCTATAACCCGGGATATATAGGCCGCCTAAAACCAAGGCTCGGTCACAGCCCCTTCTTTTCTCTTCTTTTCTTTTTCAAATAATAGTGAGGTCAAAAATCAGTTACCTTGTTCATTTTCTTTGCCTGAAAATTCTTTATGTTTCCAAGCAAATAGGGGCATGCTGTGAACAACTAATTTTTTAGCACACCCAAATTATATATTATTTTAGTGAAAATATTTTTTTTAGATCTAATCTTAATATTTTAAATTTTTATCTTACTCTTAATAGCTTTTATTTAAGAATATTTTAAAAAAAAAACTACAACAAATATTCACACTCTTAGAGTATAAGATTTGTTCCTATGTTTAAATAGAAGAAATTATATATATATATATATATATATATATATATTGGTTTCTTCTAATTTTAAATGTAAGTTATACTATTATTTTTCTTAGTATAATCTAACTATAGTGTAAATATTTAGTTTTCTATGTATATGATATTTATATCTCAAAATAATAGTTAATATTTTTAGCTATGTAATTTGCTATATATATATATATGTGTGTGTGTGTGTGTGTGTGTGTGTGTGGATATATGTATATCTATATTATTATAAAGCACGAATATTTTTTGCTAAATATTGGATGACTAAAATATCCTTATAACATTGCTCGACTTTAATACCCAAATATTTGTATAATTTAAGGTTATAATTGTAAATTACTCAAGAGTGAAATTCTTTACTGATTTAAACTATACCTATGACGATCCTATAAAATTTTGATATTAGGTATAATTCTCTATGGACTTAATGGTTTTGGACTGCTCATCGCCGACACATCAAATTAACCTTAATATACACGGTTGTACAAGATCGAGGAATTTTGTTATTCATTCACTTGGTAATAGAAGTTTTGTTGTTTGAGAATGGTAAGGAAATACTAAGTTTTAATTTAATTAGAATAGGCTCTCCATATATGCAAATCCTCATTAAATTAAAGAGAACATGAATGCTAAGAAGTCTAAAGAAATCAACACCTTTTGTTCCATATAATTATATATCACAAAAGTTATTAGTTATTTCAACCTTCTGTAACGGCGCAACTAGTCGTTTCATGAGTTACCGCTCCGTTTCCTCCATTTTTGCTTCTTATCACATTGTTCAGTTGTATTATGTATTATCGGATTGGTTAGCTCGGGTTCGGAGAGGTTTTGGTAAGGTTTGAGACATTTAGTCTCTCTTGAGTACGCTTAGGTTGGAAAAGTTAACTAGATATTGACTTATGGGAAAAAGGGCTCAGATGTGAATTCTGATGGTTCGGATAGCTTCAGGAGAGGATTTGGGATTTTGGAGCGTGATCGGAATGTGTTTTGGAGGTCTGGAGTAGATTTAGGCTTGAATTGGTGAAATTGGAATTTTGGCGTTTTCCGGTTGATCGGTGAGATTTTGATATAGGGGTCAGAATAGAATTTCGGGAGTTGTAGTAGGTCCATTGTGTCATTTAAGATATGTGTGCAAAATTTTAGGTCATTCAGACGTGGTTTGATAGACTTTTTGATCAAAAGCGGAATTTGGAAATTTTTGGAATTCTTAGGCTTGAATCCGATGCGATTTGGTTGTTTTGATGTTGCTTGAGGTGTTTTGAAGATTGGTATAAGTTTGGATGGTGGTATATGACTTGTTTGTGCTTTTGGTCGAGGTCCCGGAGGCCTCGGGGTGATTTCGGATGGTTGACGAAAGATTTCTAGTTGGGTTTTGGCAGCCGAAGTATATTCCTATTACTGTCATAACCGTACCTGCGGCTAGAGGACCGCAGGTGCGGACTCATAGAAGTGGAGATGGAGCGATGCGGCCAAGATGGGATAAGCTGGAACCGCAGAAGCAGCTAAGGGAGCACACCTGCAGTAGCGCATGTGCGAGAATATGATCGCAAATGCGGAAATGGACCTTTAAGTGAAAACCGCAAATGCGGTGGGTTGGACCGCAAAAGCGGTCAGAAGCGGAAATAGGGCCGCAGGTGTGAAATCCCTGGGTCAGAAAGTATATAAACCCTCCTTCGCGATTTTTAGTCTTTCTTCACCGTATTTAAATCGATTTTGGAGCTTTTTGGGGGATTTTGGAGAAGGAATTAGAGGGAACTTCATTGAGGTAAGATTTTTTATCATAAAACTCGTTTCTATGGTGTTATTTCATTGATTAAGCTTGAAATATTTTTTAAATTTGTGGGTAAATATTGAAGAAACTAGGGCTTGAGATTGGAGACCTTTGAATGAGGGTTTGAGGGGCCATTCGGTCGGATTTTGGTACTTTTAATATGGATGAACTCGTGGGATGATAAGGAGTTTATTGATATAATTTTTATCGAATTCTGAAACGTGGACCGGGGGGACGGGTTTTGGTTAATTTCGGGATTCGTATTGTAATTTGATTACTTTCAAGTGGGATTTGTTCCCTTAGCATATTTTAATGATTATGTACTGATTTTTGTTAGATTTGGAGCATCCGGAGGATAATTCGAGAGGCAGAGGAATCGCGGGCTAGAGTTTGGACCGGATAGAGGTGAGTAATGATTGTAAATGTTGTCCTGAGGGTATGAAACCCCGAATTTCACACGCTGTGCTATTTCGAGGTGATGCACACGCTAGATGACGCGTGTGGGGTCATGGGTATTATGACTTAGTCAGTCCTGAATGACTATTTTACTGTGTATTTAATTGAAATTTATTTGCTATCATCATGTTCCGGTTGAATGCCATATTCGGGCTTCGTACCAACTATTTTGGACCCTTAGGGAATTTTTACTACTACTCTTCACTATTTTAACTTAATATTTGTATTCAGTCATGCTATATTTTACTGTTTTCATAACTCAACCATGTTTACTTTGTTTTGACATTTTAATTGATATTTTGGGCTAAGCATCATATTTTACTATGCCTGAGTGACTTTTAGATATTTCTGACTGAGTAGGGCCAAGAGCCTATGTTATGAGGTTAATATGGGATCAGACTCTGTGCCACAACGATATTGTGCTGATTCATGACTATGAGGCCGAGGGCCTGAATTGTACGCCACAAAGTGGCTTGATAAGAGGCCAAGAGCCTGTTGATTATGCCACGAGTTGGCTTGTTATTGTGCTTGTGCCGTAAGGGGCCCCTTTCGGAGTCTGTACACCCCAGTGAGTGCGGGTACCCATTGTGAGATTTGTTATAGCCTGAGGGGTTAATGTTATTCTATGCTATTGCCCGAGGGGCTGATACGAGTGATTGTGACATAACCCGAGGGGCTAATTCTGTTGGTACTTTGCCCGAGGGACTGGTTTTTATGTGTTTATCTTTTCTCACTACTTTTCATTCACTTGTTTAACTATTAAAAGATGTTTTAAAGAAGTTTATACTGAACTAAAGTGTTTTTACAAGTTTTCACTATCTTATTACATTGTATTGGTTTTACACTACCTCTTTGTAGCATTTTGCTGTGTTTTACGTGTTTTCTTATCGCTCATCTGCCTTTACTTTTATTACTCACTGAGTTAGCACACTCACGCTACTCCGTGCACCCTATGTGTAGATTCAGGAGCGTCAGGTCCCGCTAGCTAGGGCTGATTGCTTTCAGCAAGCTGTTCGAAGTTCACTAGGTAGCTGCTCGGCGTTCTCGCCACAGTGATTCTCCCTCTTATCTTACTTTCCATTGTATTAGTTTTGTATTAGATTGCATAGTCTCTTTCATACTCTTAGATAGATGTTTAGATACTCATGACTGGTGACACCCCGATGTTGGGCTGTGTCTATTTCCGCACTAGTTCTATTTCACTGTATTTTGCGGTTTATAACTTATTAATGAATTAAATTAAATTATTATAACTGTTTAAATGGATTGGGGGTTTGTGTTGGCTGGCCTTGTTTCATGATAGGCTCCATCACAATTGGGTCCAGATTTAGGGTCGTGATAAGTTGGTATCAGAGCCTAGGTTATATAGGTCTCACGGGTCATAAGCAGGTTTAGTAGAATCTCGCGAATCGGTATGGAGACGTCTATATTTATCCTAGGGAGGTTGTAGAACCTTTAGAAAAACTTCATATTCTTGAAATTCTTGTCGTGCGAATCTATTGATCCAAGCACTAAACTTCTGTTATTCTATTCTCTCACAGGTGGTGAGGACACGAGCGACCGGTCAGGACGGACAACCAACAGCACCACCAGCTGTGGCCACTAGGGACCGAGGACGCACTCGAGGTCGTGGTAGGGACAGAGGTGTAGCCCGCAGAGCAGCTAGGGCAGCACCTGCAGATCCACCAGCCGCCCCAATTCATGATCAGGTCCAAGATGTGGACGCTCCAATAGCACCAGCTCAGGAACCAACTATGTCCATTGTGATTCCGGGTCTTCAGGAGGCCCTGGCTCAAAATTCTATCAGTATACACTGGCCTAGCTCAGGCGGTCTCAGTTACTATAGCTGCAACTACTTCTCAGGCCGGGAGAGGCACTCAGACTCCCCCTGCTCGCACACCTGAGCAGGTCATGCAGGGACTTCAGACACCGGTAGCACCTCCAGCCCAGCTGGTTATAGTTGTTTAGAACTATGTAGCTCCTACTATTCTAGAGGACGAGAAGCGTAGGTTGGAGAGGTTTGGTAGATTTAGCCTCCGGCGTTCAGTGGTGCAGAAGGCGACGATGCCTAGGGTTTCTTGGAGAAGTGTTAGAGGTTTCTTCGTACAACAGGTATTTTGGTGACCAGCGGGGTTGCTTTCACTACTTTTCAGTTTTCCGGAGCTGCCTTCACTTTGTGGGAGGCTTATGAGAGGCGTAGGCCTATTGGTGCAGCACCCCTTACCTGGCAGCAGTTCTTCGTTCTCTTTTTGGAGAAATATGTGCCACAGTCTCGCAGAGAGGAATTATGCAGGCAGTTCGAGTGGTTGCGTCAGGGAGAGATGACTGTGACGTAGTATGAGATGAGGTTCTCGGAGTTATCTCGTCATGCTATTTGGTTGGTTCCTACAGAGAGAGAGACAGGATTAGGAGGTTCATTGATGGCCACACGTATCAGCTTCGGATTCTTATGACCAAGGAGAAGGTGTCTGGTGCTACTTTTGAGGAGGCTGTTGGCATTGCTCGCGAGATTAAGTCAGTTCGTCGCCGGGAGCGAAATGAGAGGGAGGCCTCGGGGATCTGGTAGCTATTGTGGTGCTCCTTCGTGAGGTCAGTTTCAACATGGCAGAGGTCGTCCATTCAGGCATGCTCAGCCAGATCGCTCAGGTTATCGTGGGGCATCATCAGGTCATGGTTCTCATAGTTCTCATTAGGGCCAGCCATCACTCAGTGCCCTTCCAGCCTTGAGTTCGTCACGTGCCCCGTCAGTTTAGGGATCTTCTATGCCAGGTGCATTTGCTAGTCATTCTGGTACTAGGGGTTCCTTTCAGTCCCCGTCTCCGGTACCAGTGAGTTGCTATGAGTGTGGAAAGTTGGGACATATGTGGAGGTCGTGTCCTCATCGTCTTGGGGGTTCATCATAGCAGAAGGGTTAGCCATCGACTTCAGCGCCAGTTACTTTACCACCGCCCACCCAGCCAGCTAGTGGTGGAGGTTAGTCAACTAGGGGTCTCCCTAGAGGGGGGGTCTATTAGGTGGTGGTGATGCCCATTTCTATGCCCTCCCAGCTAGACCCGATGTTATTGCTTCAGACGCTGTGATCATAAGTATTGTCTCATCCTGCCACAGAGATGCCTCTGTATTATTTAATCCCGGTTTCACTTATTCTTATGTGTCATCATACTTTGTTCGTTATTTGGATACACCCCATGTGTCTCTTATTTCATCTTTTCGTGTATCTACTCCATTGGACGATACTGTTGTTGTAGACCATGTGTACCGATCATGTGTGGTGACTATTGGGGGTATGGAGACCCGAGTGGATATTTTGTTATTATGCATGGTAGACTTTGATGTTATAATGGGCATGGATTGGCTATCTCCGTGTCGCGCTATTTTGGACTGTCATGCTAAGACAGTGACATTAGTTATGCCGGGTGTGCCACGGATTGAGTGGCGAGGTTTGACTGATTATGTTCCTAGTAGGGTAATTTCATTCTTGAATGCCGAGCGTATGGTTGGGAAGGGTTGTCTTTCATATTTAGCCTTTGTGAGAGATGTCGGTGGAGAGACTCCCAGTATTGATTTTGTTCCTGTTGTGAGGAATTTTCCTGATGTGTTTCCTATAGACCTGTTAGGCATGCCACCGGACATGGATATTGATTTTGATATTGATCTGGTGCCGTGCACTCAGCCCATTTATATTCCACTGTATCGTATGGCACTAGCGGAGTTGAAGGAATTGAAGGAGCAGCTTCAGGAACTCCTTGATAAGGGGTTTATTCGGCCTAGTGTGTTGCCTTGGGGTGCGCATGTTTTATTTGTGAAGAAGAAGGATGGCTCGATAAGGATATGCATTGATTACAGGCATTTGAACAAAGTAACAATCAATAACAAGTATCCTTTGTCTCGTATCGATGATTTGTTTGACTAGCTTTAGGGAGCGAGAGTGTTCTCCAAGATCGATCTCCGTTCAAGTTATCACCAGTTGAAGATCATGGACTCAAATATTCTTAAGATAGCTTTCAGGACCCAATATGGTCATTATGAGTTCTTGGTAATATCTTTTTGGGCTGACCAATGCCCCAATACCATTCATGCATTTGATGAACATCGTGTTTCGGCCTTATCTCGACTCTTTTGTCATAGTTTACATTGATGATATTCTGGTGTACTCGTGTAGTTAGGAGGCGCACGCGGGGCATTTAAGAGTTGTGTTGTAGAGATTGAGGGAGGAGAAGCTTTATGAAAAGTTCTCCAAGTGTGAGTTTTAGCTCAGTTCAGTGGCTTTATCGGGGCACGTGGTGTCCAATGAGGGGATTTAGGTTAATCCAAAGAAGATAGAGGCAATTCAGAGTTGGCCCAGACCATCCTCAACCATAGAGATTCGCAACTTCCTTGGTTTGGCGGGTTATTACCACCGGTTTGTTCAGGGATTCTTGTCTATCGCATCTCCCTTTACCAATTTGACTCAAAAGGGTGCTCCATTCAGGTGGTCGGATGAGTGTGAGGAGAGCTTTCAAAAGCTCAAGACTGTCATGACCACAGCTCTAATGTTAGTTTTGCCATCAGCTTTAGGTTTATATACCGTGTATTGTGATGCTTCAAGAGTTAGTATTGAGTGTGTATTGATGTAGGAGGGTAGAGTTATTACTTATGCTTCTCGTCAGTTGAAGCCCCATGAGAAGAACTACCTTGTTCATGATTTGGAGTTGGCTGCCATTGTTCACGCGTTGAAAATTTGGAGGCCTTATTTGTATGGTGTCTCTGGTGAGGTGTTTACCGATTATCGTAGCCTCCAGTACTTGTTCAAACAGAAGAATCTCAATTTGAGGCAGTAGAGATGGTTGGAGCTGCTAAAGGATTATGATATTACTATGTTGTACCATTCGGGAAAGGCCAATGTAGTGGCCAATGCATTGAGTAGGAAGGCGGTGAGAGTGGGGAGTTTGGTATATATTCCAGTTAGGGAGAGACCTCTTGCAGTTAATGTTCAGGCCTTGGCCAATCGATTCGTAAGGTTAGATATTTCGGACCCCAGTCGGGTATTGGCTTGTGTGATTTCTCGGTCTTCCTTATTTGATGGCATCAGAGAGCGCCGGTATGATGTTCCTCATTTGCTTGTCCTTAAGGACAGAGTTCATCACGATGATGCCAGAGATGTGACCATTGGTGATGATAGGGTGTTGAGGATGTAGGGCCGGATATGTGTGCCCAATGTAGATGGGCTTCGGGAGATGATTCTAGAGGAGGCTCATAGCTTGCAGTAGTCCATTCATCCGGGTGTCGTGAAGATGTATCAGGCTCTAAGAAAGCATTATTGGTGGAGAAGAATGAAAAAGGACATTGTGGCATTATAGCACGGTGTCTCAATTGTCAGCAGGTGAAATATGAGAATCAGAGACTGGGTGGCTTGCTTCAGTAGATGGATATTCTAGAGTGGAAGTGGGAGCGGATCACCATGGACTTTGTAGTTGGGCTCCCATAGACTTTGAAGAAATTCGATGATATTTGAGTGATTGTTGATCGGTTGACCAAGTCTGTGCACTTCATTCTTGTGTGTACTACCTATTCTTCAGAGTGATTGGCAGAGATCTATATCCGAGAGATTGTTCATTTGCATGGCGTCCCAGTTTCCATCATTTCAGATAGGGGCACTCAGTTTACTTCACAGTTTTGGAGGTCTGTGCAGCGAGAGTTGGGTACTAAGGTTGAGTTGAGCACAACTTTTCACCCTCAGACGGACGGGCAGTTCGAGCGCACTATTCAGATATTGGAGGACATGTTGCATGCTTTTGCCATTGATTTTGAAGGGTCATGGGATCAGTTCCTATCGCTCACAGAGTTTGCTTATAACAACTGTTACCAGTCGAGTATTTAGATGGCTCCATATGAGGCTTTGTAGATCTCCAGTTGGTTGGTTTGAGCCGGGTAAGGCTAGGCTATTGGGTACAGACTTAGTGCAGGATGCTTTAGACTAGGTGAATGTGATTCAAGATAGGCTTCGTACAGTGCAGTCGAGACAAAAGAGTTATGCGGACAGGAAGGTTTGGGATGTGTTCTACATGGTTGGTAAGA